TTCGAGGAACTCCTTAACCCCGCGCAACAGCAGGAAGACTCGCCTGTAGAGCAGAAGGGTACGGATATTATCATTTCCGTAAATAAATTCGCACATGCTTTGGAAAGGTTGAAAGGTGGTAACGTTGCTGGAATAGATGAAATCCGCCCTGAAATGTTCATAGCAATAGGCGAACATGGCATGTGCTAGCTTCTACACGACGTCAAACTGCAGTGGCTACGGGAAAGACGTCAGTGGACTGGAGAACTGGCGTTTTAGTACACATGTTCAAGAACGCAGACCACAGAGAAAGCTCCAACTGTCAGAGCATTGTCATACAGATGACACCGCAGAATAACTGACTCCAAGATGGATGAAGCGCAACGTGGCTTTCGATCCGGCCAACGCATATGTGACGAGATGTTCGTCCTACTTCAGATTGTTGAGAAATCGTGGGAGTTCAAATATCCGGTGTGTATGTGCTTTGTGGACCTAAAAAAACCTATGTTCGGATCCCTCGCAACAGTCTATGAGTGTACCTATGAAATCGAAGTTAATTGCTATGGGCCATTCAGTAACTGTATGCCGATAGCAGGTATTGAGTTAGTGAAAACGGCGTTAGGTCGAAACCTTGCAACGTTGGCACTGGTCTTCGCCAAGGCTGCGTCCTGGCCCTATCCTGCTTCTGTTGTACATGGATAGAATAGTCAGACACAGCCGAGGCGATGAGTGTAGCAACGTAGATGTTGAGAGGAGAAGGTTGCTGTTTGCAGACGACCTTGTTTTATTGGCATCTTCTGAAACTGGTCTACCATGCTCACTAGAAAGGTTCGCAGCCGAGTGCTATTTGACCGTCACGCGTGTGAACGCGTCTAAAACGGAAAGCCTAGAGCTTTCTCGTTCTCCTGCCCGTTGCACTCTTCAGATTAACGGAGAGGCAGTGGAGCAGGTGGAGAAGTTCAAGTACCCTGGAGTCATGTTTACTAGTGATGGAGAATTTGAGGAAGAGATCGACCGGCAGATTGGAGTAGCCGGTGGGTTCTGCGTGAATTAGCACGAACCACTGTGTTTAAAACAGAGCTGAGTATGAAGATTAAGCTCTCGGTATTCAAGTCGATCTTGATCCATATGCCTTCCTGCAGTTATGACTCTTGAACTGTGACTGAAAAACTTCGATTCCCGGCAAGCGGCTAAAATGGGTTTTCTGCGCGACTCGCTGACCTTACGCGTCTGGACATGATCCGGAATACTGATATCCGGAAGAGCCTTGGTGTACAGCTTTTGTTTTTCCAGATTGAGAAGTCACAGCTGCGACGGTTTGGCCATGTGTTGCGAATGCCTCGAGAAAGGAAGGCTAAGCAACTGTTACTTGTGAATCCGATCGGCAGAATGCCCAGGGGACGGGCAAGATTAACTTGGTGCAAATACTTAGAAGGAGTCTACTCGAGACTCTGGTTGTCTTCTGCCGAAACTCGGACTCTTGCACAAGACTGGGAACATTGAACACTGTCTGACGTGTGTTCCACTGGGAACCTGATGGAAAAGTGGCCATGGGAGATGAAATTTTTTGGGTCAGCTGATCTTATTCCCGAAGTCATCGTTCATCCGCAGGATCCGCCGGCTGAATTTGTTGGTGAATCAGCTTGACCCCTTGTTCTTTAGTTTGTTTTCTCCATTATGAATGGACAACACGATCCGATTTGCAGGGTCACAAATTTTGCTGAACGGAAGCGCCGTCGATTGGTCTGCTGCCGGGATCACAGGAAAGATTCGTAAAACGAAGCAACAATGTTCTCAGGCTATGGACGAAAATGAACATCATTTAAGTCGCAGAAGAACGGCCGGAATGACGTAATGTATTATGCGATGCCGTTTGCGCTGGGTTAGAAGAAACTGCTTCTTAAATTGCATTGCACTTATACTCCAGATGATGAGTACGGTCTCGAGGCTCTCGTCCCGAGTTACCGAATGTTCGGTGTCATCATTTGGTGACTGTACAGAAATTGGCAATTTCGATCTGTTCGAGCCGATCGCTGATTTCACCGACAGCGTTCTGTCAGTCACTGCGCAGATTGGTAGATTGGTAGATTGCGCAACGGCCCTGACCGATACGGTGTTAAGCTTAACGAGAAAATCACCCCTGACGTGTCGCAGCTAATTGGACGTTGCGTTGCGAATGAGTGAAAAATCGGTCGCAATGTCACGTGTCTTGTCTGAGGGGTGGCTATTTAAACCTCATCCAAGTTAGGCGTGAGTTTGACTTGACTGCTGCGACTGACCGGTCGGCGGGCGAGCGTGCGACCGGATGGCGGCGAGGCGCCCTTCGGCCGCCACCGGTGCATGAGCATGATGAAGTTTTTTGCTCAGGCATAACTTGGCCGCTCGTTCTGCGTACACACTGTTGACAGAGCGGGAGTTGCTTGGCCATGGCTGTGGACGTGTCTGTGGTGACTGCTGCGGCAGCGGCGGCTTCGCGTTAAGTTTGTACGCAGACGCAGATTATGTGTGCACTTTGAGACTATCGCCGGCGGGTTCGACTGGTCGGCGGTGCGGTCGGCTGCATTCGTAGTCCGTCTCATAAGTCGATGGTCACTCAGTGAGGTTGCACTGCACGTTCCACTTCTGCCGCTGCCATAATGCAACGCCTCGAGCCAGGAGACGAAGATCGCGCTTCGGCGCTGGCCACCATTTGAAGCCCGGCAGACCGACCACCCGACCGACCGGCCAGCTGGTCGGGGAGGCACTGACGAATAGTCTGGTTCGCCGCCGAGGTAAGCGCGTTTATTTCGTTTCGAATGTGAGTCGAAACCCGGTCTGCGACCGTGGCCGCCGACCGCCGTACGCGGCTGCATGATCAATGCTACTGGACAGAGGGCGGAGTTGGTTTCGAACGACGCACCATTGATTGGCGTGAAAAAGCGACCTTGGCAAATGCGGTGAAAAAGGATCGAAAACAAGAGCGACTGCGATTCTGTTCAACCCTTTATAAGGATGCTGACCATCGTATTGAGCGACTTTTGATGTGACTGTATTGCATTTGTTGCCTGAATTGGTTCCAGACGTAAACACGACAGATTATTCGGCTGCTCTAAGGGTTACGGTAAAACTTTGCACTGAAATGGG